TACATATGGCCATAAGGAAACGTTTTTAATTAATGAAGATTTTTTTTTTAAAGTAAAGTTGACTTAACAAAGGTTGAGATATTTGCAAGACATTAGGGTAAATTTTAGGCCTGAATGCAAAATCTGTGGAGAAAGTATGAGAAAAAAATGACTTGAGATTTCTCGTGGATTTTTGCTATGGTTGGTGATAAATACCATGCAAATATCCTGTGTCAGTGTGTTTTGGCAGTTCTTCCAGTGAGACCAGGGAGTGAGGAGGATTACAGAAAGAACAAAAATGAGGTTGATTTTATACTGGAAAAATGCAATGGGGAATTCTATTACTTTCTAGCAAATGTTCTGCCTCATTCCTGTGTCCACTACACAGTATTTCAAAATCTTTGTCAAAACAAAAATACAAATTTCCAAACACAATCTAAACCTCATCCTGCCCAATAGTTTTGAGAGTAACCATTTTAGTCTCATCATTTGTTCTAGCACTATAACATGGTGATTTGGGTTTTCAGAGACTGAAACACTATGTGGTTTAAAGTAGAAAAGAAAGCTTCATGGCTCAAAGAATCCAAGAAGGACTAACAGCAGAGCCCCGGGAAGGTGCAGTTCAGCCACAGGAATAAATAAAGCCAGAAATGGACTTGCCCTGAGGACTTGTCAGGATGTGTCATCCTGTCCGCTGTCTGCTGCATTCTTTCTTTGCCATGCTCCCTTTTCTAGATGGAAAATATCAAGTCCTTCATTCTGTAGCTCTCATCTGCAGTCACTTGGAAGCATAGTGGTGGTGGGTATGCTGGTGCTCTTTTTTCAGACAATGTCCTAAAGTCATAGGAAAGGGATTCATTGAATGTAATTGGATCCATTGGCCACCGCTGGACTAATCATTGGTTTGGCTTGGCAATCTGCTCACTTCAGGTATGGAAAATCAACTGTGGCTGGGGAGCAGGAACATATACAATGAAGCAACTGCCTTGGTTCACAAGTGACTCTAGAAATACAGGCTCTATAACCAATGACGTAAGCATACAATGAGAAGGAAAATCTATTGGAGTAAATAGACTTAACATTAAGGAGCATCTTCTTCATGAAACCTATTTTGATGCCTTTCCAACTCTTGCAAGTATTTACAAACACTATTATACCAAATGTCACATTGTTCTATAGTTCTCTGAATTGGCAGTGAAGCTAGAGCCTAAGCCCCTAGTTCAACTGTAGGTAACATATGTAGAGTGTGTGTGTGTGTGTGTGTGTGTGTGTGTGTGTGTGTGTACTGGGGATTGAAACCAGGACTTTCACACTGAACTACATCACTAGCCCTGGTTTTTTTTTTTTTTGTTGTTGTTGTTGACATGAAGCCTAAGTTGCTGCTATATTTCTCAGGGTAGACTCAAATTACTATTCTCCTGCCTCAGACTCCCCAAATGGTAGAATTACAAACTTGTACCACCATAGTCAGCTACTGGTATTTTATATTATACTTCCTTTTGCTAAGAGATTTTTGCATCAAGTTCAATGCTGAAGATGTATTGTGGTCCACATTTACTCCATAAATGATTTTTTGAGAGCTCACTAATTTCCAAGCTATAGAAATAGCAATAATCAGGATGCAAAGATGATCAAAGATGATCCTTAAGGAAAGCTCATGATGTGATGTCTTTTGTCCCCATTACACTTGACATAGAAATCTACCATGGCCAAATTTGATCTATCAATTGAATTGCCTCTCCAAACACCAGAAGTGAATCTAGATGCAGTTTAGTTTGCCTATCCAGAAAAATCAGAATTTTCTTTCCTTTTAAACCAAAGGCTATTAATGCAAATCAAATTGAATTTGCATTTGATTACATTTCTGATGGAAACATTCATATGCAAATGAAAATCCATGCAAAGATAGCCAGATAATTCAAATAGTTGCTGAAATATCAAGATAAAATTAGGATATTAAATGTACATCCATCTATGTTTACTAGGTTACATCAAGGTCATCAAGTGAAACAATGTTCTTGAAAAATTTAAATATATCACATCTTACATATTCAAATATCTTCTAGTAGGTATGAATTCAGAAATGATTGCATAACTGTCCACTCTTATAGCAATGGAAAAGAAGTCAGTCACTGGTAAAATTAGACCAGTCATTGGAAAAGTGTTCCTCCGAATGCATTATTTTGTTCTCCTTTGTGTTTTCTTGTCAGTGAAAGCAGAAGGTGAGTTTTGGAGGATTTGAAGCTATTGTGATGGCCTGAAACAATGCACAAATAGTTGGCAGTTCCTGTGTACTCCCTGAGGACTCGGTGATGGGAGTTAACTGACATCATTACAATCACCACCAATCAGTACCTTTTGGAAAATGTAGCATTGTGACTATAGTAGCAGAAATAGATCTTAACTAATGTTCCTATTCTTCTATTAAATCCAGCTAAGAAAAGACTGAAGCAAAATTATAAGGTGTAACCTTTTAATCCACTGCTCACATTCCAAATCTATTTTTGAGGAAAAGATAGGCCTTAGAATCACCAAAAGAACTTAACAGCAGTTGGAGCATCAAAAGAGAAAGGCTTGAGATTACTACCTTCAGGGTTATTAGTATTCAGTTTCATAGTCCACAAAGTGAAATTCTCCCCACTTGAAAAAAATTTGATCTCATGCATTTATCCAGTTTCAAATCTTAGAATTCTACCCTTCATTGCTTTGGTGAATGTCATCAACCACCCTTCAAAATGGAAATCCTAAACTTTAGGGGGTGTCTTAGCATCTCTCACCTTGGCAAACCTAATCCTTCCCCAAATCTTAGAGATTTTGCTTCTTAAATTATTTCTCAAATCCAGCTACCTCTTCTCCTTTCTATCAACTAATTCATTAGCCTTTATCTTTTGCCTAATTTAGGACAGAATTAGCCTTACTGGTTTCCCCGAATCTACTTTTGTCTCTCTCCAATTCCCCTTATACTATACAGTACTATAACCAGAGTTATCATTTAATCCAACCCTATTCCTTACTTAAAACCTTTCAATGGCTTCCTGCTTCTGTAGGAATAAAATCCAAATCCTGAACAGAGCTAATTGCGACTAAATGGACCGATTGCTACTCTCCTCTCCAGCCTTAGATCCTGACGTTCCACTTTGACTCTTGCACTTTGGCACTCCCTTTCTGGTTTGTGAAATGATTAAACTCCTTCCAGTTGCCACAGCATTACACACACTCCATTTCCTAGATTCTAATGTGAATTAACTTCATGTGTCCTCCTTTAAAGCCTTCTTAATCTTCTGAACCCCATCGGGTCTTTCTGTTACTTCTTTCTGCAGTACTACACAAGTTTCTTTCATAGTAGCTGGACTGGGAGCTAGTAATGATGTGTTTAGTTTAAGATAATACAGTTGTATTGATTTTTACTCATGACTTCATGAAGAATGAGACCAGATCTGTTCTTTACTTACCAGAGGAAGACATGGTACCTATTGCATACAGGACATTCAACATGAATGGGAGTCTAATGTCCAATCTTCTTATTTGAACTCACAAGTTTTTTTTTTTTTTTTTTTTTTTTTCCGTATTTTAGGGAAGAGTCTACAGGGTGTTTAGGGTCTCACTACTAGATTGGACTTGTAGTGATTCTCCTGTTTACAATCTCCCAAACGCTGGGATAACAGGCGTGCACCACCACGCCCATTCTCATTCACCTGCTCAGGGCACCCTGGGGGCAGGGCCAGCACGGTAGGCCCTGGGATCCAACCCCTGGCCCTTGCACCTGCTAGCAGAAGCTTTAATCCACTGAGCTTTTTGGCCAGCCCTTGACTCACAAGTTTTTAATCACGGAAATAAAATAAATAAACAAACAAGTAAATAAATGGACTTGCTTGCTCGAACATTATCCTGTTACAACTTGCCAAGCAAAATTAATATGACAAATAACTCTCATATTGTTTGTGGCCAAGAAAGTACAGTGAAGAATCTAGTGGAACCAAGGTTAACTGCTCTCAAAAATTGTACCAGCAGGATTCAACCATTTGTTGTGCTAACAAAACATTTTTTATGTCTATTATACAGAGTAATGCAGCAGCTACTCATCTAACTTTGTCTTATGCATTTAGTTTTGTTTTGTCTTTACTTAAGAATTTAAGTCACAACTAATTTCAGGAGCACACCTAGGGTTTCAAATATGCAATGTCTTATGACGAGTTGTTAAAATTGGTTTGCAACTACTATTTATTTCATGGGATTAGAGACATAATTACAGAAGTTAAAATCATGTCAAAATCACAAATAAGTATCATTACTTTCTTAGCACTCTGCTACCTTTTATTTTATTTCTGTCAGCTGTGATCTTAATTTTATTTCCAGCACTCTTACAATTGTGAGCTAAAGATTGAAATTATAGGAAAAGATAAACTGCCACATTCTGTGATTTTTTTAAAGTAAAATCAATGATTATTTCTCTAGGACTATGTGTCCTTTCACATCTGTCTCAGACCATGGAAGCCTGACTGTCTGTGATACTTAGAGAGTGGAGGGTTAAAAGCTCATATTTAGCAATCAGATTTATCTGTAGTTAGGGATGTATAGTGGATAATCAAAAACTAAATACATTCTTCTTAAAAAGAAAAAGTTTGATTCAGACCATTAAAGTAACTTTGAGCTTCTGTTATCTCTCATGTTTATTGATGAGAATATTTAGAATGTCTTAGAAAAACAATCTTAGATATTTTAAATTTGATCAAAAGTCTTTTAAATTCTCTTTAAATTTGGTGTGCTTTATGTGGACTAATAACCTCAGGAGAAAAAAAAATGAAATGTGCCCGTATTCCTTAAGGGAAAGTAACCTCCTTCTGCATATGTTATGAAAAGAAGCATTTAATCACAAGTGGTCATGTTCTGCACTTCTTACAAACAGACCAGGGATTTGTAGACTTATTGCAAGTCAGCATTTGATATGAACAATGATGTAGATAGTCTTGAGCTCTGAAGAAGCCTGTGACAAGACATTTCTTTTCTCTTTATGATTTCAGTTAAGAATGCAAATTGCACGTCAGACTTTGAGGAATACTTTGCCAAAAGAAAACTGGAGGAACGCGATGGTCATGCAGTCAGCATTGAGGAATACCTTCAGCGCAGTGACACGGCCATTATTTACCCAGAAGCCCCTGAGGAGCTGTCTCGCCTTGGCACACCAGAGGCCAATGGGCAAGAAGAAAATGGTGAGGCCGTAATTCATTTTTAGCCACTACACTGACCTCTGCAGCTGTTACAATTACAAATGCACTACATGCCTGGGTGTTTACCTTAAAATTTGAAGAACAGCTGCTGAGGCATGGAATTTCATGAGCAAAGATTAGAACTGTAATTTTAGGGTATTGTGAAATTTTTGTCAGCAAATTTGTGTCATTTGTACATCCAATAAAGAACAAGAACAATTACAGCCCATTTCTAAGAGATAAAAATATCTGAATGTATTCCTATCATTCTGAAATATTTTACTTTGGAGGGAAAAAAGTTTTGAAACACCAACCCTCACCATTTTGTTCTTCTCCACTGACACCTGAAAAGCTCCTTCCCATTGTATTCCTGAGTAAAATGTGAGTAAAGTTTTCATAGCAACTGTCAGTCACCTGAAGAGAACTTCCTCATTTATCAGCTGTTAAAGTCCTCCCCTCAAAAGCTCAAGTAATTAATTAATTTTCAAGCGCAGTGTGAGCTGATTCCTACAAGTCTGTCCTGGGCGGGCAAGGGACTGGTGTGCGAAGAGGCCAGGGCAATGATGGCACTCTGGTGGAGCAGATTGCAGTGATTCCTGTCATACCATCCTGGGCAGTCAGCCCATTAGCTGCCATTGATTTACTGACCTTTTGGCCCGCGTCGCTCTCTCTCCTCTCTCGGCTACAGACCTGCCACCTGGAACTCCAGATGCTTTTGCCCAACTGCTGACCTGCCCCTACTGCGATCGGGGCTACAAGCGCTTGACATCACTGAAGGAGCACATCAAGTACCGCCACGAGAAGAATGAGGAGAACTTTTCCTGCCCTCTTTGTAGCTACACGTTTGCCTACCGCACCCAGCTCGAGCGGCATATGGTGACGCACAAGCCAGGGACAGATCAGGTGGGGGGTTGGTTTTAAGTGATTTCTTTCTATAATAACCCCTTAGAGAAACGATATTGCTTTGATTGGCAATCATTATTAATTTTTCATGGCATTTTGAAGATGCAGATCTTTTAATGGTAATAGCTTTAATTGAGGTCTAAATGATTTTTTGATGGTCTCTTCTAATATGATTTAATAGTCTTATGTTCACGATCGAATGAGTGTGTTAATTTCTAATTTAGAAATTTTATTTGCACTTTAACTCGACTTTAGTTTCATTTTTATGTTCCACAAAAAATGAATGAAATTGTAGCATTTTAATTATACATTATTAAACATCTCAGCAATTTTAATTCCATTTTTCACCTAGTTTTACACAGATTTTTCTTATACAGGATCTAAGTCATAGTAAAAAAAAAAGTATGTGCTTCTTAAATTTGTCATGTAATACTTTGGATTATTTTTACCGGCTACTATGAGTTTATAAAATCTAATTATTTAAATAAAATAAAAAATATAATAAATTATGTATGTATAGAATAAATTGAATTAATACTAAACATTAAATGTACTTTTTAAATGATACTGTCTCTATATGCCTATGTGTAGCTCAGTGTTTAAATTACTGTGCTTCTTTTGGCTTGCTTATCCTACAAATGAGAACTCTGTCCTGAGTAGGTATGTGTAGCTTCTTAAATCCTTAAAATGATTGAGTAGGATTGATTCACACCATCCTTTAAACGTTTCAACAAAACCACTCTTTGCACCCTCCTAGGAGAATTGACTCTGCAAATTGATATTATGATGTGTTCGGATAGTAACAGAAATGGTGTACCATAAGTCATGATAACTGGCCCAACTGACCTGGAATTGCCTAATAGCAGCCTTGATCCCATTTCTGTTTTTAAAATGATGAACTCTGATATTCTATATAGAATCTTTTTTTACCCTTGTAGGCTTTATTATCTTTGAATAATGAAAGAATAGCCAACACAAAGAATGATTTTGATACCATACTGTAGAATTTTACTGTTTTAAAACAATAGCTCATATAAATCATTCCGTTTTGTTCCAACTGAGCTTGTCACCTAAATGTTTTTCAAAGACCTGTTATTTTAAAAGTATTCTAGTATAGTTACACTTATGTAACAGTTTATCTTCCCCATGTTTCTATGCAAAAAAGTAAAACAAAATAAAACTCTAGGAAGAAAAGAACAGGCCTAGATATTTATCTAACATAACTGCTTTAAATTTCACATGCAGAAGTGTGATTGTGTTGGCGCATTATGAATGGTAGCTTTGGTGTTGAAAAGTCCCCTCATTTGCTCATGGCATTTACAATTAGTAAATTAAAATGATTGTATCATATTAACAGTGGCACAACTAAAGTTTATAGTAGTCCTCTGAGGGCTGTGGGGGGAGACAAAGCAGCTGTTGCTGTTTGTTTATGCAACTCAGCAACATATGAGCGCTGGTCCCTCAATGGCGCTCGGCGGGCTGGGCTCCGCTTGATCTTTGAAGGTTGCTGCTGTTTGAACAAACCTCCCTGTGTCCCATGTAACACCATCTGTCTCACTAGGAATGTGGGAAGATTCAGCACACCCTAGCAGTTGTCATACCGTTTCTGTGCTGTCTTTTTGCAAAAGGCTTTTGTGTCATTGCTGCTTGAAAAAGGCTGACCTCCTACCTTGAGCATCCAGAGTGGATGACTTTTTTTTCTTCCAGAATTCTAATTCACACTGCTTTTTTCCCCTTGTTCAAAAAGGTCAGCTGTGTTTGATTATATCTTTGCTGCTTTTAACTTGTCTTTTCAGCAAACTTTTTTTTTTTTTTCTTTGTGGTCCCTACTCTCTTGCACACTACTAAAAAGGAGAATGAAAAGTCGTTGAAGTCTTTCCTACTGGCCTGTGATAAAACTGCTCAAGCAGCTATAACCCAAGATGCTGTCTCTTAGTTTGATAATGAATCAGATCTGATAGGCAAGACCTCAGGAAAACAGGGTTTACATGTGCCAGTAGCACAATGGATGGAATATTTAAACATGCTAACCCTGTAACAAAATATTTGTAAGCCAGCTTTGTTTCTGAGGCTTCTAGTGGGAGAGGATGATTTTTTTTTTACTGTTCTTTAAATTACAGATTGCTTCAGTATAAGTTAGACAAACTTACTCTGATTTTAAAAAATTGATGAAATGTATAGCTTCACATGTATAGTTTGTTTAACACTATTTAGAATTTTCAGGAAACTGTGTTTTTCCCTGATACAATGGTTGCATTTCAACAGGGAATCTTCAGATGTTAGGTCTTGCACAAAACAAAACAAAACAAAACGAAACGAAACAAAACAAAAAACGAAAAAAAAACATCTTTACAATTATATGTTCTCATCTCCAATGGGTCAAAGATTTGAAAAAGAGACTGCAAAAGTAACTGTAAAGCAAGTGTTGGGTGAATGTGTGAAAGCATTTTTATTTGTTCCAATTTTATTACTAACATTACTTTTATTTCAATTCTGAACAACTAGGCAGATAAATAAGCATGCTCTCAAACCTTTTGGCAGGTCTAAAAAAAATTCGTACCAAATTTGTTCCTTCTGCACAAAACTGATGTCAGTCCTTTCTCTTTACAGCACCAAATGCTAACCCAAGGAGCAGGTAATCGCAAATTCAAATGCACAGAGTGTGGCAAGGCCTTCAAGTACAAACACCATCTGAAAGAGCACCTGAGAATTCACAGTGGTGAGTAGCACAGGGGATGGTGCTCTTAGCTGCATTTTGTTTATTTAAACCTCTCAAAGACTGTTTAAAATTTACACAATCCTGTTTGTAGCTTTCTGGAACTATGCATTTATTTCAAAAGTTCTGCACCTTCATGAGACTGATAGAATGGTAGTACTGTAAGGCAGTAGCACTGTCTTATAAAAAGGAGAGCTGATCCTTCTTAAAAATTGCAAAGCCTTTGATTTATTACCAAATCTAGAGGTTCCTCTCAGTACTTTTAAAATCCTTTCTCCAGATAAAATATTTTTGACCTAAAGAAACTCAGATAGCAAATATTAAAAGATATTCATTTTTGATACCTAATCATAAAAGAATTTTGGATAAAAACTTGGTATGATAAATGTTCCTTGATTCTTGAGAGCTGTGTGTGTATCACAGACCAATATTCTACCACTGAGATTTCTTCTTTATAACTAGTTTGGATAGCTCTGCCAAGCATTTTATTACCAAATTGGATGCTATTCAGAAAACTAGTTAGATTGGTAGACTCAATGGAATCTCTACAGAGATGATTAAAACTAAGACTACACTTCCCTTTAAATACTGTGACATCTTTATTGTGCTATTGACCACACATTAATCTGGTACTTTGTTTAAATAGGAAACTGCCGATGGCAAAACAAGATTTGGGATCTTAGCTTAAAAAAAAAAAAAAAAAATAGTCTTCACCTTCCACTGCTAACTTCTTGAATCATGTCCTCCTAGGACAGATAAAGCTCAGTAATGGCTACAGGCACATAATTCTAATGTAAACACCTAGAATGTAGAGGTAACCCCATTGTGTTCCTTTGATTTGGTTTCACAGACTCTTGTCTCGGTAGACATCTACAATTGTTACCCAATCAAAGAAGTGTAATGTTAATTTTAATTATCATTTTAGGTGAGAAACCTTATGAATGCCCAAACTGCAAGAAACGCTTCTCCCATTCTGGTTCCTACAGTTCGCACATCAGCAGCAAGAAATGTATTGGTTTAATCTCTGTGAATGGCAGAATGAGAAACAATATCAAGACGGGTTCCTCCCCTAATTCTGTTTCTTCTTCTCCTACTAATTCAGCCATTACTCAGTTAAGAAACAAGTTAGAGAATGGAAAACCACTTAGTATGTCTGAACAAACAGGCTTACTTAAAATTAAAACAGAACCACTAGACTTTAATGACTACAAAGTTCTTATGGCCACACATGGATTTAGTGGCACTAGTCCCTTTATGAATGGTGGGCTTGGAGCCACCAGTCCTTTAGGAGTTCACCCATCTGCCCAGAGTCCAATGCAGCACTTAGGTGTAGGGATGGAAGCCCCTTTACTTGGATTTCCCACAATGAATAGTAATTTAAGTGAAGTACAAAAGGTTCTGCAGATTGTGGACAATACGGTTTCCAGGCAAAAAATGGACTGCAAAGCTGAAGAAATTTCAAAGTTGAAAGGTTATCACATGAAAGATCCATGCTCTCAACCTGAGGAGCAAGGAGTTACCTCTCCTAATATTCCACCAGTCGGTCTTCCAGTTGTGAGTCACAATGGTGCCACTAAAAGTATTATTGACTATACATTAGAAAAAGTCAATGAAGCCAAAGCTTGCCTCCAGAGCTTAACTACTGACTCAAGGAGACAGATCAGTAATATAAAGAAAGAAAAGCTACGTACTTTAATGGATTTGGTCACCGATGACAAAATGATTGAGAACCACAACATATCCACTCCATTTTCATGCCAGTTCTGTAAAGAAAGCTTTCCTGGCCCCATTCCCTTGCATCAGCATGAACGTTACCTTTGTAAGATGAACGAAGAGATCAAGGCAGTCCTGCAACCTCATGAAAACATAGTCCCCAACAAAGCTGGAGTTTTTGTGGATAATAAAGCCCTCCTCTTGTCATCTGTACTTTCTGAGAAAGGACTGACAAGCCCTATCAACCCATACAAGGACCACATGTCTGTACTTAAAGCATACTATGCTATGAATATGGAGCCCAATTCTGATGAACTGCTGAAAATTTCCATTGCTGTGGGCCTTCCTCAGGAATTTGTGAAGGAATGGTTTGAGCAACGAAAAGTCTACCAGTACTCAAATTCCAGGTCACCATCACTGGAAAGGAACTCCAAGCCCTTAGCTCCCAATAGTAACCCTCCCACAAAGGACTCTTTATTACCTAGGTCACCTGTAAAACCTATGGACTCCATAACGTCACCGTCTATAGCAGAACTCCACAACAGTGTTACGAATTGTGATCCTCCTCTCAGGCTAACGAAATCTTCCCATTTTACCAATATTAAACCGGTTGAAAAATTGGACCACTCAAGGAGTAACACTCCTTCTCCCTTAAATCTTTCCTCTACATCTTCTAAAAACTCCCACAGTAGTTCATACACTCCAAACAGCTTCTCCTCAGAGGAGCTCCAGGCTGAGCCTTTGGACTTGTCATTACCAAAACAAATGAAAGAACCCAAAAGTATTATAGCCACAAAGAACAAAACAAAAGCTAGTAGCATAAATTTAGACCATAATAGTGTTTCTTCATCGTCTGAAAACTCAGATGAGCCTCTGAACTTGACTTTTATCAAGAAAGAGTTTTCAAATTCAAATAATCTGGACAGCAAAAGCACTAACCCAGTGTTCAGCATGAACCCATTTAGTGCCAAACCTTTATACACAGCTCTTCCACCACAAAGCGCATTTCCCCCAGCCACTTTCATGCCGCCTGTCCAGACCAGTATTCCTGGGCTCCGACCATACCCGGGACTGGATCAGATGAGCTTCCTACCACATATGGCCTACACCTATCCAACTGGAGCAGCTACTTTTGCTGACATGCAGCAGAGGAGAAAGTACCAGCGAAAACAAGGATTTCAGGTAACAAGTTGCGTCTGTGCAAAAGAAAGGGGACAAAACTATATACTTGGGCTGGGGATTTAGCTCAGTGCTAGAACACTAGTGTGAGGTCCTCCATTGCATATTTCGGTATCACAGGCACTCACACACATACACGTAACACACACACACATGCAGATCATGTGCTGTAAGAAAGAAATCGTGATGATAAATATCAGTAGAAATAGAAGTTTTTAATGTGAATCTAACACTATAAGTGGGCTAAAAAATGAATACATAAAAACATTGAAACATTGTATCTTGTAAGCACATTTGGTTTTAAAATGCAAAGAAGAAATGAATATTCACCTTATTTTAGAATTATACATTGGAAACAATAGTTGATGGGACTTACCTAGGTGTGAAAAGCTAAAATGTGGAACAGACACATGCTTTAAAGAGGTTCACAACCTGCAAGTAATATACAAATCAAGTTGATGAATTTGTTTTATAGTGAATAGTTTATTTGAAGAGTATTTTTAAAAATATGTTGCACATTCCACATGAATTATTACCTAATCTTCACATTTGTGAATAATTTATGGGTATTTGAATATGAAAGCAGGTATGCTTTAGCATTATGCAGGGTAATCCTTGCTTGCAAAATAGGAGCATAGAGGCAGTGCACCTCTGTAACAGCTGTTGCAGGATTCCAATTTACAGTACATCTGCCCTCTTTGTAAATGTATTTAAGCCTATTTAATCTTCTCTAATATTAATTAGTGCAAACCTAGTCTAAGAAAACTGAACTCTGGGCTAGCAAATGAAGGCTTTGTTATCACGCAAGTTTGCACTCCTTTGGATCAAGACAAAATAAATATCAAGAAATTTAATAATTTACTGATCCACATTCATTATTGTTCAATGCTGAAGGCTGTTTTAACATAGATAGAACATTGATAAAAAGTGTTATTAATATTCCCTATTTCAAATTAGAAAATTAAATATAAAAATATAGCTTGAGGCTTTTAGTTGGTAGACATACATTTAAATAGATTGCATAATAATAACACTTTGTACCTAAATATAAAATTCAATTAAAATGGGGTTTCTGCAGCTACAGATCATTCCTAAATTATACTGGAAAATACGCAAATTCTCATGTTTAATGTTCACTCACAGATACATGCCAGTACAAAACAACAAAGATTTTAGAAAGGTTTGTGTTTTCCCCCACCTTTGGAGTTGATATTCTCTGTCCTTAAAAAAGAGCAGTCTTCCATCTATAGCAGAGACAATTGTAATTTTTGTTGAAATGTGAAACCTCATGTGTTGTTCAGGGAAAAATTCTAGAAATTTTTAAAAATTAGATCAATCTGTACCAAGCAGTCTTAACGTTCTCCAAATGTCAGCTTATGCAAAGTTGTTTGGTGTAAACACAGAGACGAGGCTAAATTGAACTATGTGATTCTATCACAGGGAGAATTGCTTGATGGAGCACAAGACTACATGTCAGGCCTAGACGACATGACAGACTCCGACTCCTGTCTGTCTCGAAAGAAGATCAAGAAAACAGAGAGTGGCATGTATGCATGTGACTTATGTGACAAGACATTCCAGAAAAGCAGTTCCCTTCTGCGACATAAATACGAACACACAGGTATGAGTGACTTTGACTAGCTAGTTAGAGCTTCTCAGCCTGCTGTACATTTCATAATATTTAATGAGTACACTTGTGCAACATAAGATGAAACATATGCTGATACCTTCAACAAGGAAGAAATAATGCTTTTGCCTAGCTCAGTAGGACTTTTTGTTGCCTGTTTATTGGATCATTCATGTGTTTATGAATGTGCTTATCTTCATATCTTTCCAGTCAAGCTGTAAGACAAATTCGCAAAACATGAAGGGAATATTTAAATGGCCAGTACAATGAAATGGCATGATACAAGCTAGTCATTGAAAATATCTTCAAATTCCTAAACTGTGATGAATTTAAGTATGTAAAAATATAATAATAAATCTGATCAATTATGTGCTAGTCTCATCACAAAGTAAGCCATGTTTTGCAAGGTATTTTGTTTGGTTCTTGTGAATGATGACATCTCGAATCAACTTGAAGTGTTAGTATATCATGAGAAAAGTAATACACCAAATGAACGATTGAATCTACCTATATTGGAAGAATAAAAGAAAACTTTCTAAATTTAATTAGTGGGCTGGAGAGATGGCTCAGTGGTCTAAAGCACCTACTGGAATCAAGCTTGGCAAAGCACAGGGACCGCGGTTCAATCCCCCAGCACCACATGCCAGCGAGCCGCGCCCCCCTGGTGGGCTGAGCTGGCCACACACACACAATGAATAAATAAATAAATAAAATTTAAAAAAATAAATAAATAAAAATAAATAAATAAATTTTAAAAAAAATAAATTTAATTAGTGCATCTTCAGTTCATGCATTACTAATCTGGAATAGTTACAAAGAGTTGATCAGATAATTGCCTAAGTCTTCCCTATAAATAAAAAGATAATGAGGTGTTTTTTAAAGAGAGGAGGTACTGTGATGTAAAGCAATTGTATTTCTCTCAATCCAATTTGTAGCTCTGTGGTGGAGTTTCACCTGTGTTCTCTCCCTTATGCTCCCTCTTCATATCCTAAGCAACCTATCTCAGCCTCCTGCCTTTCCCTAACCCATCTCCAGATCTTTTTCACTTGAAATTTGGCATGCTTGGTTGGGCCTGGATGAGAAAAGAGTGTAGGATCCCAACCTAAATATTGGCAAGAGGCAAAAAGAAGGAGAAAGTGTAAGGAAATATCACACATTAAACCAGGAAGTCTAGCATCAAACATTTTCAAAGGAAGGAAAAAAATAACCTAGCATTAATGCTTTCTGGAAATGATAGTGGGGCAAAGAAAATGGGAGTGGAAATGCTTCCTGTTATGTTTTGGCTGCCTGTGTACACAGTACCTTTTTTAGAGATTGAAAACTATCTTTGGAAAGTACTTGTACCCATTACCGCCCGTTATTCCTACACTGAGCATGTTGTGGAGGCAGCGGAGGTGACCAGAATCAGGTGGGAGATTTCTGCCAATTAAATGTTGAGGTACCATTAAATGGTGGGTGAGTTCTATCAGTTAAATGTTGAAAAACAACGTTCTTGCTCCAACAAACCCAGTTTCCTTTCTCTCCAACCATCTGATGGTCCTTATGATTATTTTATAAGTTCAACTAAGATACTTTAAAAACAATCCAAAATGAATAATAGATCCAGATATTTTTATACTTGTGTGAACTTTTGAAACATCAAGTTTTTCCTACATTTGTCTTTTATTATAGATATTTTCATTAGTGCCAAGATCTATTTTAGTATTTTCAAAGTAGATAAATTCATATCTAAATTTGCTTTAATATTTTAAGCAACTTCAAATATATTTGTATTTCCTTAGCTGCTTATAAAAGGCACACCCTAGAGGGCCTTTTTCCCTCTGATTGGTTTTATCATATCATTATATACAAACTCTATCATATACTACAGGGTGAGTATAAGACTTTTATTTTAGTGACAGCTATCATACATATTAACATCCAGTCAATATATTTATTTCAGTAGTCCATAGCTTCATAGATATGTAGATGAAAGACTACATATTAACAAATATTAATAAACACAAATACATGAAATTAATTTGAAAAAGTAAAAATCAAATGTTTTGGTCTTTAGAGTGTGAGCTTTGCTGCTCAGAAACATTGCTTAGCAACAGGATGATAGCCATACCAATGGCTTTGCTAAACTTGTGATTAACTATCCTCTTGTTGGTTGCTTAACTTGTTAAGTTTCCAGTGTTTTAACTTGTTGGTCTCTTGACCAAACATTCATGATATTACTACTGTCAATGTATTAGTTTCCATCCAAGTTAAAGTTCTTCATGAATTTTCTATCACTATGATGTATGTGGAAATTTAGTCCATTTTATTATCCTAATTGGGTCCTGTAAGCCTTTAGTTTGTTTATATTAATCTTTGGAGAATGAATTAATAAGAATATTATAAACCAGAACTGCCATGGCGTTGACTTATTCTAAGGCTGGGAAATGAAGTGAATTGTCATTTGATTATTATGTATTGATTGTGACTGTATTGTTGATAAAGCCTGTTTATTATATATGTCTATGAGCATCTTGTTCTTGAGATCCTGTGCTCTTTTACCACAACCTATTTTAAATTATTTGCTAGACAGATACCAAAGTTATAGTGCTTAATTTTTCTTACCAATGACTTATTGTTTTCCTTTCTTTACTTGGGACCAAGGACTGGGACAGAGAAAGGAAACACTATGTAAATGTTGACTTCAATAGGATTGTCACAAACAAGAACTGTGAAATAAAAACATCTGAAACTGCTGTTAGGCACTGTTAAGAACTCATTTGTATTTCACTAAAATTTAAATTTGACATTTATTGAGTGCTTTTTCTGTTGAGATATTGTAGTAAGTGCTTTTAAACCCACCTTACTTAGAAAAGTAATAAAAATGCTTCTACTTTTGAGTAAAGTATGAGTTTTCAGTAATTGTATTGCTTAGCTATGGCTATAGACTTTTTGTGCCACAAACCTTTCATTGATTACTAACTTTTATTGTCATTTTAGCTGTCAGATGAATCATAAACCAAGATACTAGAGAATTTTTTTTGATTGAACATCAATTTGAGCATTTTTCTGAATCATGCTCATGTAGAAATTTAATTCTAGAACATGCTGATTTGAATCCAGTAAACCAAACAAACAAGTTAGAAGAGAAGAATATCCAAGTCACTTCATATTTAAAATGATTTTGTTAAGTACTTATTAGAGAAACTTCTGAAAATTAGTAGACTGTTTAATATACATGTAAAAGAAATATATAAAAATTCTGACCAGTTCCCAAATTCTGTACTTTCCATGACATCATAGTTGAATAATTTATTCTTTCAGTTTGCTAATTCATAATGCAGAATTAATATATTTCTATCATAAATGTCCTGTTGAGTAAACTTTCTGATATTGAATTGTCTCAAAATGAATCACAGGATAGTGATACGACAGACAACAAGGTTAGTAGGCATGCCCAGTAGGCTTCAAAACCTGCGCCAGCGAACGTATGCTTTCTCTCAAGACTCTCTTCTGTGTTTTAGAGCAAGTGTAATGGCTGCTCCAAATTATTCATATATTCTTTCCCTGAAGTTACCTAATTTGTTGATCTTTTTGTTCTCCTGAGCTGAAATACTAGCATCTAGAAGAAGTTGCAAGACAATTTTGCCCATGCGCTCTGTCATAACTACGGCACCAAGAAATTTTTCATACGCAATTTCTTTTTGCTCCATTCAGATTTGTTTCTTCCATGTACACTGCTCCTGATGCATGCATCTTGCTGAAGCTTGGGGAAATACTGAACATGTATTACTGAATAAGAATAAAATGATCTAACACTACTTGAGTGCTTACTATGAAATCCTTGTACTAAACATTTTACATTCCTTGTCTCCCTATACTTTCTGGCCAGTCCTTGTTAGGCTACCCAGTGATTGTCTTTTGAGGGCAAAGACTGGGATCCTTAGAGAGGCTGACATGTGTGAGACTACAACACAACACAGTTGTAAAAGATGAGTTTGAGCCCAGGCAATCAGGTTCTAAAACCCATCTCCCCTGTTGAATACTGTGCCATTCTGCCTGTATGGATGAATTGCCACTGCTACAAATATCTAACCCTCACTCCTATTAGC